CAACAAAAAGTAAATAATCTTCAAAGTATCCTCAAAGAAAATAAAACGCGAAGTAAATGAAATGGCTATCGGACCGTATACTGTGGAGTGAAGTATTATAATATGATATTGTTTAACTACATAATACAAGAAGAGTAATAAAATTAAAAATTAATATTTAAATTCATCTATATATGTCGTTTAAATCAAAAAGGTATAAGTTATTTTACTATTTCAATTTCAGTATTTCTATTATTTGCTTGGGACGTTCTTTGCTAATGAAGTGCTAACGTCGATTGGGTGAATAATTCTTGATGGTAATAGCCATGAACGAAAGACACATTTTTTGTATTTTTGGTTCATGGTAATAACTGGCAGTACCTTTGAGCTCATGCAACCCTGCGCCGATAGGCAGCACCTTTTCGTTCAGCCAGCTGTACGAAAGTGAACGAAGCATTTCAAACGGTCGATTCGAATTCAGCGATTGGAGCAAGTAAATAGCAGCGGGGTTGTCGAATTTTTTCCTTGTGTGGCCAGCATATTTATTGTTTATTGTACTTTTGTGAAAATATATATTTGATTGCNTTCGATCGCAATACAAAAATCTTAATATTTTCCCAAATGAGGTGCTAACGTCGGTTGGGTGAATAATTCTTGATGGTAATAGCCATGAACGAAAGACACATTTTTTGTATTTTTGGTTCATGGTAATAACTGGCAGTACCTTTGAGCTCATGCAACCCTGCGCCGATAGGCAGCACCTTTTCGTTCAGCCAGCTGTACGAAAGTGAACGAAGCATTTCAAACGGTCGATTCGAATTCAGCGATTGGAGCAAGTAAATAGCAGCGGGGTTGTCGAATTTTTTCCTTGTGTGGCCAGCATATTTATTGTTTATTGTACTTTTGTGAAAATATATATTTGATTGCGATGAATATATCTGCAGGCACCAACAGCGCATCGAGCAATCAACCGCGTAAAATATCTAATCAAAATATTCAGGTGTATGTGCGTGTTCGGTGAGTGCACTATTCGAAGAGCGATTTTTCAGCAATAAAATATCAAATAATGCAAATATATACTTTTCTATAGGCCATTAAATGCACGGGAACGTTGTATTCGATCGGCGGAAGTGATAGATACCATTTCGCCACGTGAAATAGTAACTCGGCATACCATTGAATCGAAGTTGACAAAGAAGTTTACCTTCGATCGTGTATTTGGTACAGACTCGCGGCAGGCGGATGTCTACAGCACGGTGGTGGCACCTCTCATTGAGGAAGTGTTGTCCGGCTACAACTGCACCGTATTTGCTTATGGTCAAACGGGAACGGGCAAAACTCATACCATGGTGGGCACTGAATGCGCAGAATTGAAGTCATCTTGGGAGGACGTAAGTACTTATCTGTGTTTATTCTTTAAACGACAAGGATTTTTTTTTGATGAGACTTAATAAAAATATTGTCTTGCTAGTATCGGAATAATTTCACACTTTTACCAAAAGCTCTTCAACGGCTCGGCGTCAGTGAGTCATTCGCAATCGTATGTTGCGAATGCCACATTATGCTAAAGCCAGCCTTTC